TAACCACCTTAACATAGGCGCATGGTAAAGCGCCGGTAATATCGGCCGTGTTGTTCCAGGGGTGATAGGTATGGGTGTTGCCCGAGTCAAGCCATAGCCATTCATTGGCAAATTTATCGTATTCAAGCCCTATGTAAAAGCTGGTGTCTGGGCTTGCGTAATGAAAATAATTTAAATCCCTGTTATCAGTGGCGCTGTGAATAGTGACCGGCACCGCACCCGTGGCCATTGCCGCGCACTTGGTCTTGGCCTCGGCCTCATTGGCCACAGCGTACGGTATGTTTCTGTAACAGTTGTTGCCCTGTGGTGTCCATGTCTTGTCCGGGCACGTGACACCTTGTTTGTTAAAATAATAATATCATAGTGAATTGTTAATATAAAGTTATTTTACATTATAATAATTTAAGTATTAGTATGCCTAGCAGGAAAAAATAATTTAATTAATCAAGTAATATTATATAATAGTTATTTATTTTAACCTTCACAAATCTCATAGGTGGATAGCGTACACAAAGTAAACGTTAATATTTTAATTAAATTCATGTTATAGTTAAATAAAATATTTATTTATTAGCAAAAACAGTTGTTATAAATAAAAATTTTATTTACAAAATTAATTTATTCTTGTCAATCATTTAATAAGTACATATACCTAATTTGTATAAAAATATTTATTATTATCCCAACTATATTTTGATCATGGTGAAATTAAACAACAATTTTAGCATAAGTGTTATTTTTATAAATGTTGCTATCTGTGAGTGGCCCTTATTATTTTACACTTAAACCATAATAATTAATTATATCAATTACTTTTAATTTGCCGACACCACTTAATTGAGTAATCAAATAAATTTTGATTGTGAAATTTTAATAACACCTTTATTTATTTAGTATGCATAAACAAAAATTTTACAATAAAAATTACCTAAGATAAAAATTTTTGACTAATTTTTAATAAATCAATTTAATTTATAAACTTTTATTGCTAAAAGTTAAATAAATTAGATTATTATTTATGTTAATAAAATTATGTCAAAAATCATGTTATATTTATTCTTATTTTAAAAGAAATCTAATACTGTATAATAATCAGTATATATTATAAAAACATTTTAAAAACTTAATTCAAGCTAATATTTAATGTATTATTTAAGGTGCATTTTGAGGGCACTTAACTCTATTAGCGACACAACAACTGTCCAACTTGGTCTTGATCAGCGCGACCTGTTCATACAAGTTATCCAGCGATTTACTCTGGGACTGACACACCAGCGACTGAACTGGCTGTTTACAATCATTGGTCAGCCAATCGGTGAGCTTGGTATTGACCACTTTAACGTAGGCACATGGAAAAGTACCGGTAATATCGGCGGTGTTGTCCCAGGCGTGATAGGTATGGGTGTCGCCCGAGTCCACCCATTTCCAGTCCTTGGCTGCGGGGCTGTACTCAAGCCCTATGTAAAAGCTTGTGTCATAACTGGAGGCAAAAAATGTCAACAGTTCAGTGTTGTCGGCATCGCTGTGAACGGTGACGGGCACTGAGCCCGAGCCCAGTGCCGCGCACTTGGTCTTAGCCTCGGCCTCATTGGCCACCACTCCGTCCACTTTTTTGTAACAATGGTTGTCAGTGGCTGTCCAGGTGTTGTCCGGGCATAGCATAACACCTAGAGTATATTAAAAATATGTAATTAGTCGTGTAAATTAATTAAATGGAAAGTTATATAAAAACATTAAATAAAATTATGTTGTTTATTTTACTGTATGTCTACCATTTAATTATAAAAATTAATTAATTAGTTTTGTGTACATTTTAAGCCTGTTATACCTTATTTACATTTTATCTAAATCTTAATTTATTATTTAATATTGATAATTGCTATAATGTTAAAAGTTATAAGTTATATTTTATGTTTATTTATAGCATGTTCAATTGCTGAAGGTATAAACTATTAATTATATATTTAATTATAATTATTACTATTAATACAATTTTAATTATTCAAAAATACTATTATTTGACACAGATTTTAAAGCCTCAAACGAGAAGATAGAGTCAATTCCAGGTAATTATTATAATAAAATAATTAATAGTTAACGATGTGGTCAAAAAATCCCAATCCATAATTTAAACCATGAAATATTTATATAAAATGATCTATAAGTTATAATTTTATCATGGTAACATTTTTACAGTTTATGTATTATAAATAACAACTTTGTAACTGTTGAGAGAGAGAGAGAGAGAGAGAGAGAGAGACTATGCAATTAATTTAGTATTTAGCAGCATTTTAAAAAACTTGATTATTAGTGTTGTTTTAGTTTGATTTTTTACAAACCTGAACTTTTTTCATATACTGCCCATAGACACAGTGTAAACAGTATTATGTTCATACAATTCATATTGGTACTATCACAGAATAAGTATTTAATAAACTCATACAAAATTTTTATAACATTAAAAGCTGTAATTTTATTGTTGTATTTATAATAAATTAGTATAATACCACTTTTTGTGGGGTCGAATTAAGTAAATAGTTAACTAATCAATATTTTCTCACACAATAATTTTATCATTTGTAAGTCTACCTAAACTGAAACTGTTTGATCCATCTAGATTAGTTAATTAACTAATAAATGTTGAGGGTGGCAAAAATTAAAGCATATTAAAAATTTAAGTTTTAGTGTACTATTGATAAATCATTCTCACAGCGGGAAGTTCTCAATAAACTTGTAATCTATATTATTTGTAAAATGTAATAGGTAAAATTATTTGATGTAACTATATGTTGGGGGCAATACTTAGTTATTGTCAAGTTATTTATAATAATTATGATAATATCTATTGTTGTCAAAATTGAGATTAATAAATACAGATTTATTAAAG